AAGAGTTCAATGAGTTGTTTACAGATACTCTAGAAGCATACAAAAAACAACATAATATCCTAGCAACAAACAAGAAAAATCATGACCAAATATTCGAACTACTACGATTAAAGCTAGCACTAGACTATTTGACTAATATAGATTTTAATCTATTAGATATTTGGGAAATTACTAGATATATTCTATATCTAACTGGATTTACAAAAATCTTATAACAACTAGACTTCGATGCAATCAGACAAATGATCTCTAGTCTTATTGACGAAACTCTGCTACCTCTACTATCTGAATTTTCTCTAATTCCAGCTTACCTGCGAGATGCTATTCCTTTTAATCTACTAATCTCTAATAGACAAACTATTATACCTATAATCAAAACTTTGCGACTAATATTTTCTTTCAACAGAATACCTGATAGTTATATCTCTGATAATCAAAAGCTACTACCTAACTTATATAAAAATCTGAAAGAAGGATTGAGAGATCTTTTCCCAATCGAAGAGAGAGCAGATCTAAAAAATCTAACTAAATACAAAGAAGCTCTACAAGAATTCTATATTTTCCAAAAAATTGCATCTAGTTACTTCAACTTACTAGCACCAAAATATCTACTACCTACTACTCAACAAGTTTTAACACCCAGACTTAGAGAAAAATTTTTTTTTCTACCTAGAAATCAGAAAGATTTTAAAGAACATGTCAGAATCCTGAGAATGAAATACTCCTTTACAAGATTAGCTAATAATTATATTATTTCTTGCAAACGTCTATCTCAGGATCTAACAAGCTTAAAACTATCTAACTTCACTTTCTCTTTGAGAAATAAGGAAGAAGTCAATATGTTCGAAAAAGTTATCTCACCTATATATAATATTCCAATGCCTTTACCACTAATATACTGTGATTTCAACTACACAAATCTTCCAGATCTTCCAGAAGACCCTGACCTGGTTACTAAAGTCAACTTAACACTACTAATCTCAATATCTAAAGAACTAAACATAACAGCTAAAGCTTTACACGAATACTATTACTTTCACTTATTACCTCAATTTTGAATTGAGATACAGAAAAAAGAAATGCAAACAGATACAGAACAAGGTCTACCTAGATTACTCTCAATATTAGAATAGCTTAATCTAATATTAAAAGAAAAACTGATTAAAGATATAAATATTGCTATAAAAAAATACTATAATATTTCTACTACAATTGAAGTTTTATGACAACACTTCTCCTTCAATACAACACCAGAATACATCTTTGATCTAATAGACTTGTCTGAACTTTCTTTCAATATCTTCGATATACAAAAAACAACTTCAACAACAACTAACATATACATACAACAAACAAAAACAAACTCTCCTATGGAGGATCAATAAATACATATCTTCATACAAACACTTTGCTTGCAGCAGAAAACATGAACGAATTTAAACCACTTGAGATCAACATACAGAAAAAAATTAATATCATCACACATAATATTAGAGGAATAAACAATATCCTAAAGATACAAAATTGGATTGAATATTGCGCAGAATCAAACTTGTATATAATATCTATTACAGAGACAAAATTAAGAGATTCTGTAACAAAATCATTTTCTAACTCTCTATATAAGATATATACTTCAAACTTTCAACTATATAGACTAGAACAACGAGAAGCTAGCCTAGGGACAGCATTAATGGTCTGTAATTAATTACATCCATACATTCATAAAATTAATACTATCTCAGGAATAGTGATTTGTCTTGACTTCTTCTTTTTAAACAACAACAAGACCTGTATTATTTTAACTTATCTTCTATCGAACTACCTAACACTACTTAAACATACTCAATCACAACTATTCAACTAAGTTATAGAAGTCAAAACTAAAAACTAGCACTTAATTATCCTAGAAGATTTCAATGCAAACCAATACAGAAATCTACAACTTTAAATCTTCACAAATCTAAAAGTAGCCAACATATCTAGCCTTATTAAATTTCACAATATTCAAATATTTACTTGGCAAGATCCTACTGCAAATAGCTAAATAGATGATCTCTAGATTTCTTCAGATTTATTACTTGTAATTGATCCTCCATTTCTAATCAATGCCACCTATATTTCTAATAGTGACCATTGTATCTTAAGTACTTCTTGGTATACTAGATTTCTACCACAGAAGAATCCAAGAAACAAAAAGAAAAAAAGAAAAATCTACCTCTTTGAAAAAATGATAACAGATAATTGGAAAAAATTCACTAACTCTTTAGATACTCTACTGAATACTCAACTTTTAATATTCAATAATATCAGAAAAGAGAATATAAATAAGGCATAGAATATTTGGGTATCAAAAGTCAAGGAAACAATAAACAAACTTATTCCATACACTTCACTACACCAAAAACGTTTTATGCCCTGTCTTTAAAAGCAACCAAACTCCATTCAGCTCTTAAAAATATCAACAAATGCTTACAATATCTATCAAGCAACTCTCCAGACTTTTTATCCAAAGCGAACCATCATCTGCTCAAAACAAACAAGCTTGCAGAAACAGATATTCTTCTAATAACTCAAGAACAACTCAACTCTTCACTCACTGAGATAATAAATCAGATACAATAACACAAACAGATAATATGACAAGCTCGAAACTTTGAAAAAAAATAAGAACAAAATGAATGTATAAAATTCTATATAAACTGAAGACATTCTGACTTTAAGGATGATATTAGCCGCATGATAGATAGTATTCTACAAAAATGAAAAGAACCAGTCAACTTTGAAAAAATTATCTAAGATAAAAAAATAATTACAAATAGTGAAGAAATCAAAACAGCCATATGCTCACACTTCAAAGACTAGACTAGAAGCAACCTACCAAATAATACCTTCTGAAAAGAATGGAGCTCATACTATTTTTCACTTAACAGTATTCAAACCAATATTTATGATATACTTCTTATCCCAATTACTCAAGCTGAGCTCATACAAACAATAAATTTAGTACCAAAAAACAAAGCAGCTGGCCCTCTAGGAATCACAAACGAAGTCCTTCAATACTTACCTTCTACAGCCTTTACAACTCTGCTAAACATTCTAAACAGTTGTATAATACATGAGGTTATCCCTAATCAATGGTTACAAGCTAAAATCTGGCCAATTTCAAAAAAACAAAACTACAATTATGAACTTAATTCAACTCATCCTATTACATTAATAAATCATACAAGAAAAATATTCACTAAAATCTTAACAAACTGACTAACTGATATTTTTGTCTACCAACAGATATTATCACCTTATAACTATACTGCCTTTCCTCATCAATCTACACTCCAACCTATCTTTCAACTTACCTATATTCTAAAGTATACGATGATAAACAAAAAAGAAATTTAAATCTTTTCATAGAACATGTCTAAAGCTTTTAACTTAATTTACATATTAATACTATGCAAAGCCTTAGAAAGAATCTATATTCCAGAAAAAGCAATAAACTTGCTAGAATATCTTCTCTCTTACAGTACTAATAGAGTCATTATAAGCATGGGACTAACTGCACTATACCCAGTTGAGGATGGCATAGACTAAGAAGAAACAATCTTTCCTCTTCTCTGGAAAGTCTACTACGATCTACTAATTTCTAGAATACATAAAGAATATTTGAGCTACAATAGCAAGATAACCATATCACTCACAAGAGAAATTCATACCTCTGTAATAGCATACATGGATGACTCTCTTTGGATAGCTCCAAACAGAACTATACTTACTTATATTCTTAACATAGCCTCCTTATTTTACAAACTTACTAATATTAAAGTCAATCCTCTAAAATCAACGCTAGTAACAAACTCAACAAATTCAGATAATTCAATAATTTTTGACAACCAACAACTATTCAAAATAACAAAAAGAACACCTTTCAAATATCTGGGAGCATAGTTCTCAACCAACAAAAAACCAAAAGTAGTCCAGAATGAAATTATTGCTGAAGTCATAATTAATCTGAAGAAGTTACAATTTGCATAAATAACTGAGAGACAAGCAATTTATATAATAAATAATGTTATTACACTACGTCTCTTATACCAACTACATTCTTTCTTTTTATCACTAAAACAAATTAACTTTATTAACAAAACTTATGCTCAGACAATTAAACACAAGGCAAAACTAGCAAGAGGTGTACCAAATTCCTTCCTCTTTAACTCAAATATTTACGCACTAAACAATCTAGTACAAGCTCAACTTTCATCTATGATTTCCACTTTACAAAAAAATCTGAATCAAGCTGACTTTGATTTATCCTTTCTAAAGATCAGACTTCAACAACTACAAGACTCAGCTTTAACTAATATCTCTATCCTTATAGAACTACTAGTCTTTCCAACTTTATAAACAAATATACAAATCTGTCAAATGATTATAGCTCTTCATACTTTAGGATTCCAAACATCTCGTCAAGGCAATGATTGGCCCTACTCTAAAAACTTCAAGGGAACTTCAATAAATCAAATTCTTATGAATCATCTCAAAGCATCATATCTCAAAGACAAACTGAACAATTATAATATCTTTAGTATCGAACAATTTCTAAATACAACAAACATAGAATTACTCGAATAGAATAACTTTTATTACAATATAAAAAAGATACCTAGAGAATGCTGCCTAAAATAGTTCTTCATAATACAAGGCCTTATATCTGCATTAGCCAACCCAGCAAATAAATAACTACAATATAACCCATATACTCTAAGTACTTAGACTCTAGCCAAAAAAGGATAGATAATAACAGACAAGCTAATCTTTGGAAGAATTTATAATCCTTATAGTAAAACTAAAAAAATACATTACTATAATCTAATTAACAATAATATACTAGTAGCCTGCACAGAATGCCATCTAAGAAACAGATCATTCTATTCAAAATATTGCTATTTTAATGTAACAGGACCAATATATAACTTACAGGTAGATAGTAAGAAAAAAATTCATATCAACCTACAAGACTTTGAAGAAGCGATAATAGCTAGAAATTTAATATCCTTATATTCAAAAGAAATACTACAAATAACTACATCCAAACTACTACACTTCTTTATAAATTCTCCAAACTAATTTAGAACAACCTAACAAGAAACAATCTTAACAACAACAAAATAACAGTTTATATGACAAGTACAAAACAAAATATTGAAG